AAGCTTTTTATAGTGTTATTTACAGTCTGTATGGTGCCACTTTATATTAAGTGTCCTTAACTAATAAGTACTTGCACTGAAATTAATAATTCGTTACAATGTACTTACTGTGTAAATACATGTTTTACATTGTACTTATCAATTAAATACCTGCATAAAATTACATCTGTAATTAATTTCTCTAATTACATTTATAATTTACACTGTTGACCATCCCTTACACTTTAATCCACCCTTAAACTTACCTATATCACCAAACCTGTCCCTAACCTGACCCGTAACTTACTTTAATATGTATATTCTGAGGTAAGTACATAGTAGTTAAGGACACAATATAAATTACTTAGTTTTTTATTTTACTAAATACATTTATTTAATCTGTATAATTAATGCAAATTATTTTTTTGTTTTTATTTTATTTAAAAAATTATTTAATATATATAATTTATGCAAATACATTTTTTTGGGTTTTTTATTTTATTAAATACACTTATTTAATATGCCTAATTTATGCAAATTCTATTTTTTTGTTTTTATTTTATTAAAAAACTTTATTTAATATATATAATTTATGCAAATCTAATTTTTTGTTTTATTTTATAAAAAAATGTTTGTTTAAAATATATCATTTATGCAAATTCGATTTTTTTGTTTTTATTTTATAAAAAAAACTATTTAATATATATAATTTATGCAAATCTGATTTTTTGTTTTTATTTTATAAAAAAATGTTTATTTAATATATATAATTTATGCAAATTCGATTTTTTTGTTTTTATTTTACAATGCAACTTAGATTTCATTTTCTTTTCGGTTTAGTCCCTTTATTAATCTGGGGTCGTCACAATGGAATGAACCGCCAACTTATCCAGCATATGTTTTATGCAGCAGATGCCCTTCCAGCTGCAACCCATCACTGGGAAAGATCCATAAAGACTCATTACCACAAACACTAGGGTCAAATTTAAGAAAACCCAATTCACTTATAGTGCCGACTTTGGACAGTGGGAAACCAGAGCACCCAGAGGAAACCCACGCAAACATGGGGAGAACATGCAAACTCTACACAGAAAACTGACTCAGCCAAGGCTCAAACCAGCAACCTTCTTGCAGTGAGGCGATCGTGCTACCCACTGCGCCACCGTGTCGCCTTTATATGTTATTTAATACATCTGTTTAATATATTTAATTTATGCAACATAGATTTATTTAATTTAATACATTTATTTTATTTCTATGAATAATACAGCAAATATATATATATATATATATATATATATATATATATATATATATATATATATATTTTTTTTTTTTTTTTTTTTTAGTTAGAATGACCTGAACTAAACACATTAAAACTAATAACTAAACTAAATAAAATGTAAACATTTAGCAATGAATAAACAAATGAATAAATCAATGCAGTAAAAGTCAAAGTTGCACCAAACCTTTGTCTCTCTTCTTAAAATCTATCCTCTCCTGCATTAATATAAGCCTAATATTTCATTGCCAACATAAAGAATTGATTTTTCTCTGCTTTCCTCCACCCACAACAACAGACCTGTGACCCATTTTAAGGTTATGACCCGAGATATTAGCATTGGCCATTAAAAGTACATATCGATCAACTACTAGCGTCGATGTTCTGAAAAACATTCCTGCAGTAAACAATGCAAATGAAATATGACAGAATACAGATACCAAACCACGCTGATTCTCACGAAACACAAAATCCCCAAAGCGTATTTCTTTTTTTATTTCTGCACGGCATCTTGTGATACAGTATAAAACCGTCTTTGTTAATCTGCAGAAGTCAAAGCACCAAAATCATTAAATCAGGAATGAGAAATAGGCTTTGGGTTCTGTACTAATGCTACACTACGTCTAAAACAGTGAACTATCCGTATACCTCGATCATATCTCCATCCTACCACAAAGGGTAAGCAAAAACAAAGAAACACACAAAAAAGTCAGTGTTTTACAGTAGGATATAGTATGAGCTTATTTCTTTCAGATATTTTAGTAGTGGAATAGTTATGAATACTGAAAGTGCATGCTTTTGGTTAGAACTCTTACCTCTCTGTCCTCCTCTTCTCCAGAGGTGAATGAAAAGCACTGTGATTTCTAAAAGAGAAAAGAAATATCACTGTCAACATACAAGCTGCACATAAAAAATAAAATAAAATAATAAATTCAATTAAAACAAAAACTGTATATGGTGGACCAAAACTGCCAAAAATAAATAAACAAACAAAAATAAATAAATAAATAAATAAATAAATAAATAATATATATATATATATATATATATATATATATATATATATATAATTAATTAATTAATTAATTAATTAATTAATGTCTACAGTTGTTATCAGATTCTGTTGCAGTCTTATTAATTTTTTTAATTATTTTATGTTACATTTTTCCTTTTGGTTGAAGTTTTTATTTGTGTTTTTGAGATTTTATTTTAACTTTTATAAAATGTATATTTTATTGTGTATTATTATAATTAACAATAATATATTTTTTTAGAATCTAAATTACTAACAATTCTTAAATTCTATGTTTTAGCAAGAGATATAGAAGACAGATAGAGAGAGATATTGAATTATTACAATCTGATAGTTGTATTAATAGTTATATATTTTTAATTTAGGTCAATGTTTCAGTAGACCTGGGGGATTAATCGCAAAGCAATTAAAATCGACATTCAGAACCTATTATCGATCAAATTTTTCTGGGACAACTTTTTCAATTATGCATGTGGAGTCATGTAAACCTGCTCTGTTAGCCTTTGTTATAACTTTAAACTACGTTGACAATGATTGAAAGCTGCACCAGAGAGAGATGCATTAAGGCAGAATATTTTCCATTACATTAAAATTATCATTTACATTCGAATATTTGTTTATAGAAGATTCAAGAAATGCACTGTTTAAAATGTTTTTATAGGATATTCATTCATTCATTTTCTATTCGGCTTAGTCCCTTCATTAATCCGGGGTCGCCACAGTAGAATGAACCACCAACTTATCCAGCATATGTATTACGCAGCGGATGCCCTTCCAGCTGCAACCCATCTCTGGGAAACTTTAACAGGATACATAAGAGTTATTTTATTTAGAAGATATACCGCTTGTTAATATCAATATCAAAAACATTGCAAATGTATTTTGTTTCCAAAAATCTTCTATTATTTTAAAATCAGGTAATGCACTCTTCGTTCAAAAATCTCTCATCTTTGAAATGTGAGTACATTTACTGTTCAAAACTTGTCAGTGAACTATAAGGACAAATAAAATTCATTCATTCATTTTCTTTTCGGCTTAGTCCCTTTATTTATCTGGGGTCGCCACAGCGGAAGTTATCCAGCATGTTTTACGTAGCGGATGCGCCTCCAGTTGCAACCATTACTGGGAAAGGAAAAATAAAAATAAATAAATAAATAAATAAAATAAATAAATACAATAATCATTCATCAATCATCTAATAATTTTGGCCCTGAAATGGTTTTTAAAAAATTAAAAACTGCTTTTATTCAAGCCAAAATAAAACAAATAAAACTTTTTCCAGAAGAAAAAATATTATTAGACATACTGTGAAATCTTCCTTGCTCTGTTAAACATAATTTGGGAAATACTAAAAAAAAATAAAAGTAAGAAAGTAAGAAAGAAAGTATTGCAACACATGCTCATTCTGAAAACGTAGTCCCGAGCAGGTTTGAGTCCAGGGAAGAGCGGTTCCATAAATCAGGTAAGACAAAACAAAATCCAAAAACTAAAACGAATAAGTGAACAACAGGGTGAGAATGTGGTAAAAATGTGGAAAAAGCGCACACAGCGGCCTCTCACGGATTCGCGAAAACAAAACCTCCAAAAACATGTTCCTCCCGGGACGTATTTCCAGTCTCTAGAAACATCCATGGGACTACGTTTTCAGAATGAGCCTAGGTTGAAGTATTCAGACCCCCTTAAATTTTTTACTCTTTGTTATATTGGAGCCATTTGCTAAAATCATTTAAGCTAATTTTTTCCCTCACATTAATGTACACACAGCACCCCATAATGACAGTAAAAACTTCTCAAGGGTGCTCAGACTGGGCCGAAGGTTTACCTTCCAACAAGACAATGACCATAAGCAGACAGCTAAAATAACGAAGGAGTGGCTTCACAACATCTTCGTGACTGTTTTTGAATGGCCCAGCCAGACCCCTGACTTTAACCCAATTGAGCATCTCTGAAAAAAACTAAAAATGGCTGTCCACCAACATTTACCATTCAACCTGACAGATCTGGAGAGGATCCCCAAATCCATGGGTGAAAAACTTGATGCATCTTCAGCAAAAAGACTCTTAGATCTAAAGGGGGCTTCTACTAAATACTGAGCAAGGGGTCTGAATACTTAGGACCATGGGATATTTCAGTTTTTCTTTTTTAAAATGAGTAGTAAAAATGTAAACAGTTCTGTGTTTTTTCTATCATTATGAAGTGCTGTGTGTGTACATTAATGAGGAAACAACCTAAATGATTTTAGCAAATGGCTGCAATATAAGGAAGAGTAAAAAAAAATTAACGGGGTCTGAATACTTTCCGTTCCCACTATATACCCACTGTATATGTATATATGTGTGTGTGTGTGTGGTGTATGTATGTGTGCACATATATATATATATATATATATATATATATATATATATTTTTTTTTTTTTTTTCCTTTTTTAAATATTTCCTAAATAATGTTTAACAGAGCAAGGAAATTATTAATGTCTGATAATATTTTTTCTTCTGGAGGAAGTCTTTCTTGTTTTATTTCGGCTAGAATAAAAGCAGTTTTTTTAAAGCGATTTTAAGGTCAAGATTATTAGCCCCTTTAAGGTATATATTTTTTCGAAAGTCTACAGAACAAACCATCATCATACAATAACTTGCCTAATTACCCTAACCTGCCTAGTTAACCTAATTAACCTAGTTAAGCCTTTAAATGTCACTTTAAGCTGTATAGAAGTGTCTTGAAAAATATCTAGTAAAATATTATTTACTGTCATTATGGCAAAGATAAAATAAACCAGTTATTAAAAATAGGTTTTTAAAACTATAATGCTTAGAAATGTGCTGAAACAATCTTCCCTCCATTAAACAGAAATTGGGGAAAAAAATAAACAGGGGCGCTAATAATACAGGGGGGCTAATAATTCGTACTTCAACTATATTGGATTCGATTAGATTCAACTTTATTTTCATTACACTTGTACAAGTACAAGGCAACGGAATGCAGTTTAGGTCTAACCAACAGTGCAATAGCAGCAAGTGCAGGCTATAGGTATAAGTTAAAATTTAATTCAGGTTAAATGATAGATAATATTTACAGATGGATGCCCTATCATCAACATAATATACAAGTTATATTAACTAGAATCAGATATTTACAAATAGATTAACATACTTTACGGGTTGCCATTAATAATCAGGTAATTGTAAAAGGAAATGGACAACATACAGTACATGTTGTTATTTGCTATGACAGAAATTACAATTAGATATGTTTATGTATGTGTGTATACAGTATATGAATATATATGTGTTTGCTACATTTATGTACCAAATTGCATGTATTTGCAAGCCTGACTTTTTGGGTCACTGTAAATCAAACACAACACGGAGTGAAGAGAAACAATGAAAGTAGATCTGACTTTGGAATCAATTAAAACAAATACATCATATATAAGTCATCAATTCTTAATTAGTATCTCTCCCTGATGCATCGGTTCTTTCCTAAAGCATGATCAGAGCACTTAAACCGCATGATGATCTGTGATACAGGCTCACACAGCATCAGGGTCAGCCTAGGCAATCTATTTAGGTAGCTTGAGTCCTAATCCAACCCACGTCACGCAAAGATCTTCAACTCATATGACTTTTATAGTTAACATGTTTTCTGAAGTGTACACACTAACCCATTTACTAAGTGGATCATTAGTTTAAAAAGGCCTATACATGTGTGTAATAAATTTGGTCTTCTTACATTAGCACTGTCTCATTTATCTTCACACATGCATGTTTGAAATAGGCATGGGACGATAACCGGTTTTAAGGTTTACCATGGTTTGGAAATTATTAATAACGATATTTTAGATTGCATACCAAAGAAATGACATAACTTCAAACTAGGCATGAGGCGGCATATGTTTGTGAAGGTATGATAACCTTGGATAAAAATATCAGGGTTTCGTGGTTTTGTGATTACTGCTCTAAAATAAGTTCTTTTTCAAATGTGTGGATGAAAAACAACACACTTTCCTCATTGAACACAGTATACAGCAGCGTTTAACGCTAAAGATTTTTTCTACTGGCCCGATTGGATCAGTGGTTCAGATTTTTTCTTGCCTTGCCCAAATTTTCACTGGTCCCACCCAAAAAAATAAATAAATAAAATAAGGAGTTATTTGCTATTTCTTAGCCACATATTTTACATAATGTGTCAAAAATAACGTCTGTGAATCTAGAATTTAAATATTAAATTTTTTAAAAAAAATATTTAGCAGTAAAATATCGCAGCATGGAAAATGTGCAGGTATTTATTTATTTTTTTGCAAATTAAATAGATTTGCCAAACTGATCATTCTGTCTACTGTCCCGAGCGTCTCTTACGCTGGCCCTGGGCCATCCTTATTGTTGAGCCCTGTACAGTATTTATTTGACAAATTTTTTATTTAAAATTAAAATTTATAAAACTTTGCAACAGTAAACATGTCAGGCTAAATCATTCAAATAAATCTACAAAAACACACACACATTTTCAAAATGTGTTTTTATGTGTCGTAAAGAAATCTGTGTTTGTGAACTAACGAACCTAAAAAAAAGTCAATGAGTTATTTTAATTATTTAGCCTGAAATGTTCCAAGATTTTATAAATATGAATTGTAAATTGAAAAATTGTAAAACTAAATACTGTATATTGTGTTCAGTGGGTGAAAATGTGTTGTTTTTACTAAGACATGGCTAAAAACATGCTCTCACATGATTAGTGCTGTGTAGCATCATCTATTATAAATGGATATAAAAATAAATTGAAACTATTTCATGTTTTATGATATGCTGTAATAAATTTAGATGTTTGTTATGATTTACCACATATATGTAGAAATTACATGAAACATTAAGTCATGAAAATTGACTTGAAAGTGCTGGAAAAGTTATGGAATTTTTGCAGTAAAAATGTGTATGAACCTGAAAATGAAATGTCTGTAAACCATAAAACCAGTTATCGTCCCATACCTATTTCAAACATACAGTACATGTGTGGAGGTAGATGATAAATGTAAGATTTATGCAAGTGCTAATGTAAGATGACCACATTTATTACACACATATTAATATATAATGTTATGTTTTGGAACAGTAAACATGTCAGGCTAAATAACTGAAATAAATCCACAAAAAGGCTTTTTAAAAATGTTTTATGTATGTTTTAATGAGTAAAGAAATCTGTGTTTTGTAAACTAACAAACCTAGCATAAGTCAATGACCTATTTCAATGATTAAGCCTGACATGTTCCAAAATTAATAATAAAGAACTTATTTTAGAGCAGTAATCACAATACCATGTAACAGTGATGTTTTTATCCAAGATTATCAAACCTTCACAAGCATAAACCAGCCCATGCCTAGTTTGAAAGACTTTTGATGACATTTGATTGGTATAAATCTAATAATTGTTATCAATAAAGGCCCACATGACAGCAGTTTATTTGAGATATGGACATGATTAAAAGAGGATAATCATGTGAAACGTGTATATTATTGTTATTATTATATTAATATATTATTGCTATCATAAGTAATACGACAATTATATATATATATATATATATACTATATGTGTAAGGCATTTTTAAGAGCATTATGTAATAGCTTTCTGTCAACATATAACTAAATAATACCACAACATGACCCTTTTCTTTTAAATCCCACATAAATATGGTAATTTATATTCCATTCTGCTATATATTCGTGGTTTATTGTTGATATTACCTAGACAAAATGTGTTTACTAGAGGAGTTGTTGTGATATATTTCATTTGTGACATCATTTATAATTCTGATCCGTTATGACGGTGTTTCACATGAAATATTAATAAAACGGAAGACATATTCTTGTATTAAGCAACTCTATGTAAATATTTACAATAAAACATTGATAGTATTAAACTAGAAATACTCTCCTTTTGAGCAAAACACTGACATTGATGATATTAAAACAGTCGTAATGTTCATAACTGTACCTCTTTATTATATGTCTGTAAAGCTGTCAGTGCGGCGTCCTGGTCGCCCGTTTCCATTTTCTCTATGATGGCATTTAAGTCCATTTTCATCGCTGTTCCGCCCTTCTGCTGTCAGGAAGAGCCAAAAAATCACGTAAACACAGTCAGCTTCAATCCTCTGGCTTTATCTGGGCGATCCAGAAGCTCCTGGATGATGCGATTATTGAGGGAATCGTGGGATTTGTAGTGAAGGCTTTAAGATGGGAAGTCCCGCCTTCTGAGCAAATATTCGTGGTTGTGATTGGCGTGGGTGTATGATCGGCGTTTTATCGAGCCAATCATAGGCTGCAAGAAGGAGACGCGTCAGCCAATTATGATGCAGGAGGGTCGACTAAGTGTTACGGATGAGGAAAATGATGAGAAATGTAGTCCAAAAAGTTCAGATTATTCCGCAAATATACGGAGAACCTAAAATAAAATAAATAGGTGTTTTTATAAAGATATAAAACAATATGGGGCATCAGTGGGTAGCATGATCACCTTACAGCAAGAATATCACTGGTTCAATCCTCGACTGGGTCAGCTGGCATTTCTGTGAGGAGTTTGCATGTTCTCCCCGTGTTGGCGTAGGTTTCCTCCGGGTGCTCCGGTTTCCCCAACAAGTCCAAAGATGTAGTATAGGTGAATTGGTTAAGCTAAATAGATACGTAAGTTGGCGGTTCATTCCACTGTGGCGACCCCTGATTAATAAAGGGACCAAGCCGAAAAGAAAATGAATGAAGAAACAATAGGAAAAATATAGAAAAAAGTAATAAATGACTTAATAAAACAGATATTTGTTGTTTAAAATCGAATTTAATAGTAAATTTATTAATTTAATTTAACTTCCTTTTATTTATTATTTTATGCATGCATTTTTCATTTATATTTAAACTTTATTTGCAAACATATTATATATGTGTTTATTTATATTTTAGATTTATTTATGTATTTATTTAAATTTTATGTTTATTTATGTGCTTTTTTATATTTATTTATTAATGCATTTATTTATCTCTATAGCCTATTTATTCATGCAATTATTTCTTGGATTTCTATTTGCTTTCAGTCTTTAACATAAATGATAATAAAATAATTAACAATAAAGGCTAAACAGTACGTTTATAAAGATTTGCAAAAAAAAGTTTAGAACAGAGTAATAGTGCACAACGTAGGGAAGTAGACAAACATTAACCGTATAGTAAAAGTGTAGCAACCATGTTATTTTGTTTGGGCCCATTGAATATAATTTGTATAACTATGTTATTATTACTACAAACACCATGGTAAAACTATGTCTGATCCAGGAAAACCATGAATTTGTGGTTGTCGTGGTTTAACTGTACTATAACTGTGAAGTAAAACCATAGTGAGTTGGTTTAATGATTCATAATGTACACAAATAAATAGCAACTTTTTATATATTTTTCCCAAATAAATACATAAATTAATTCTAGGTTCAACAAGATAATTAATGAAAAAAATAAATAAAAAATAAAAACATTTAATAATACCTGAAAATATAATATGGTTTAAAATGATTATCAAATAGCAAAGACCATATTTTAAAAGACCAAAGACCATATTTTAAAAATACATAATCTATAATTTTATAAAATTTTATTTTTAATTTTAATGCAAAATATTATTATAAAAAACAGTATTACAGTGCATTTTCCCCTTTATTAATTTATGTTCTAACTTAAATGAGTAACTTATACAGCAGGGGAAATAAGTATTGAACACATCACCATTTTATCAGAAAACATATTTCTAAAGGTGCTGTTGACTTTTTTGTGGATGTTGTTAACAACCAAAGAAATCCACATGCAAAGACAAAAACAAAACTAACTACAGGTATGTTTAATTAAATGGAATGATGCATAGTAAGTAATGAACACATAAATAAAGGGAGGTGTAGAAAGGTAGTGAAAGCCCAGACAGCAGCTAAAATCTCTCGCAACCCCCTTCCGTTCGTCATTGTAAATTAATATTAGCTGCTTCAGCCCAACATCTACATTATCAGCATGATGAAGATGAATCCAGAGTGGATATTACAGCAAGACAATGATCCAAAACACAGTCAAGGAAACTCTCAAAGGCTTTTAGAGAAAGAAAATCAAGCTGTAGAATGGCCCAACTAATCACCTGACTTAAATCCAACAGAGAATACAAAATAAAGCTCAGATTTAATAGACGAGATCCACAGAACTATCAAGATTTTGACAAAGTCTGTTCTTTCTCATTGTGTCATTTCATTGTTATTGCACATAACTTATTTTTCAGATATTTTATTTTGTTTTATGTTTATGTTTGTATTGTTTGAGTTTTTACCAAAATCTGGTTCAATTCAATGTCAACAGCTTCTTTTAGTAATTTGATTCCCATGAATAAAACATGACGTGTTCAATACTTCCCCAACGTAAAGGTTTATAAATAAATGTTTATATACACTGTCAGAAAAAAAGGTACAGTGAGGGTACAATTTTGTTTCTAGAGAGAACAAAATACATAATTGTTCTTTTAAAGGGCCCAAATTGGTCCTTAGGGTACAATTTTCTACTTGTACAATTTTTCTAAATGGGCTATAAAGGTACAATGTCCAGATTTAAGTTTGAAAGGTAGATTTTTGTACATTTTATAGCACATTTGGGTACAAAATTGTACCGTAAAGGACAATTTTTAAGGTACAATTATATATTTTGTTTCCCTATAGGAACAAAATTGTACCCTCAGATAATGATAAGATCAAGACACAATATAACACTAATTTAACCCTCTACTGCACGGTGTAACCATATGGCAACATGATACTTATGTTCATTTCCCTGCCACTGTTTCTTTAATACCAACATGTATTTTTTTATTGGAAAGGGAAGACCTTAGAGTTGCCAATGATGTGCTTTGGTTAAGTCACATGACATCCAGTGTTTTTCTGTAGCGCGATTTCTGACAGACTGGCGATTATTTTGAGTAGTTGCTAAATGCAAATGTAAACGTCAATAAAAAACAAAGGATTAAATTATGTCAGATCCACAAATAAATCTGAAACATCACCTCCATTAAGTTATGATGACATATTCACAAGTTTTTTTTAAATCAAATTAGTTTTTTGTAAATCGATCAAATGCGTGTGTTACCAAATGGCAACACTGTACAATAGTGGAACATGCAATATTGCTATGGGTTAGCTTGCTAGCAAGGTTAACTGTGAACTTTTAAGTTGTAACAATAACAACATGAATGCTAGTAATATAATGTTGATTAGTCATATATTAATGGCATTTGCATTATGGATAAAATCTAGTTTTAATGGCAATACTTCTTTTGAATAGATATGTATACAGGGAACAGTGTATTAGCGAGCACCACCATGTTCTATGGTAAGTGAAAGAAGAAAAGGACAGAACTGGCTCTTCCTGCAGATGAAAGTGAGGATGAGATAGGTTTTAGTGACCATGAGAATGATGCTCACTGGACAATTTGATAGAGAAAGTTTAGGTAAGTTAGCTTAGATGCAGATAAGACAGGTGTAGAATAGGATATATAATATATATAAACATTGTTGGCTAGTAGCTACATTATTCTGATGCATCTGGATATACTAGACTTGTTATTTCTTTGTTATAATATTTACTGGAGGAAATATTTATATTTACTGTTTGTTATATACATGATAATACAATATTAGGTTTGTTTTTAATAATATTCAGCAAAAAAGAATGGAATGAATGAAAACTGTTGGAATATCAGTTGTGATAATGTATGTATTAGGTGTCATTTATAAGTTCAGTGTTAAAGCTCATAATACTGCAACACCAATTAAAGTATTTCAAAAAAAAAAAAAAAATGCTTAATTATAAGGAAGGTTTTAAATTTTACATTTCTAAGTTAGATCCACTGTTGGACGTTGTTGCCATATGGCAACATATCATAAAGTATCTTATAAAAAGATTATTTTTAAAAAATTACAGCACTTCAAGTTAAGCTATTTTAAGAAAAGAAAAACAGTATATATATATATTTTTTTTTACAGATTTATCATAATGCGTGCTGTAGAGGGTTAAATGTATTAATACTAAACATTAATACTAAAATACATTATTTAAAAAAATAAAGATAATAAATTGATTGAATTAAATATTTTAATTTTTTTTTTTCATGTATTCAAATTTTATTTTTCCTAAAAACTATTTATAATTTAATGTATAATTGAATGTAATTTTAATCATTAAAAACGTAAATACTGGTCTTTGCTAACTAATTGTTCAAGACCCTAAATGATATTAAATGTATAAATAATTCTAAAATATTACAGATGTCTGTTTGCAAATTCCTCATTTTTTTTTGTTTTTTTTGGTTCAAGTTATTTTAATGAGACAAAGCTTCACGGCTGGTTAAACATATTAAAGCAGAAAATTCTCACTGTCATTGTATTGCATAATGCTACTTTAAGAAACGCTTCCTTTCAATTCCATTTGCATGTTTACATTTACTTTATAAAGCGTTTACGTAAAAGGAAGTGCTTTGTTGAGACAATAAATCACATCTTATCTATTATCTTTGTAAAAGAATTGGGTAGATTCTGCCCAGGCTGTTCTGAGGATAAATTTAGACCTTAAAAAGTACCTGCCAAACCATATTAGCATATTTAGCACAGAAGAAAATTACATGTAAATGTGGCAAAGGATTACTGTTACCAGACTGAAATGGTAAGCGAATAGAGGATCATATGCAAATGAAATGAAAAAGGCAAATAGGGCTACTAACAAACCTTTTGATCACAAAGAATTTGTTTTTGAGTTTACATGAACCTTACATGAACTTGCATGAAAATTTGATCAGCCTGTGTGAGGCTGTGCATTTTACATAAAAGTGTTCCTATGCTGACCTCTAGTGGTTACAAACCCACTTTACATGAGATTAAAAACCAAAACAAATCTAAAAACTCCAAACTATCTGCAATATTTATGCAACATTGGCAGTCAGATAAGGAAACTGTTTTGAGGGAGTCACTGCCTTGTTTCCCAGCGGCATATTTATTCTTGGTTAGCAAAAAAACAAACCATTTCCCCATTCCACTTATTAGATTAAACATGATTAATGGATTTAGTAGGCTTATACATAGTTTGTCAATGAGGAAGTCACCTCTAATTAAACATTTTAAAAGTGTTTGACAGAATTTCAGGGAGTTTTATCTCTCAGAA